CCCGGTTGTCAAAGAAATATACGGTCTTGCGTTATCCTGATGGGAGATTATGCGTTTTCTGTTGACTAATTCTGGACACTTTTCATCAAGTGCTGCTTTCAGTTGGTCTAATTGGGAGCAGTACTTGTTGGAATTAATCGTTTGCTTTTCCAGAAGGAGCTCATAATAGAGGACTCCCTTCCAATCCCACCATATACACAACATAACCTTCTTTTTTTTTTTTTTTTCGGTACGCGGGCCTCTCACTGTTGTGGCCTCTCCCATTGCAGAACACAGGCTCCAGACGCGCAGGCTCAGTGGCCGTGGCTCATGGGCCTAGCTGCTCAGTGGCATGTGGGATCTTCCCGGACCAGGGCACGAACCCGTGTCCCCTGCATCGGCAGGTGGACTCTCAACCTCTGCGCCACCAGGGAGGCCCAACATCACCTTCTTTGGATGAAGACCAGCCTTTGGTGTGGTTGGTGGTAGTTCATTTCGCTTGCCCCACGATCTCTTCCATTCCACATTGTTGTACAGCATCCACTTTTCGTCACCCGTCACAATTTGTTTTAAAAACGGAAAGTTTTTCATTACATATAAGTAGAGAATCCCATGCGGAAATACGGTCATGAAGGTTTTTTTGCTTAACTTATGTGGAACCCAAACATCAAAGCGATTCACATAACCAAGCTGGTGCAAATGATTTTCAATGCTTGATTTGGCTGTTTTGAATATGTCGGCTATCTCCCGTGTGGTATAACGTTGATTGTGTCTCGATTTTATCGCTATCAATTTCAAGTGGTCTACCCGACCATGGAGCATTGTCCAGTGAGAAATCTCCAGCACGAAACTTCGCAAACCACTTTTGACACGTTCCTTCAGTCACAGCACCTTCTCCATACACTACACAAATCTTTTTTTGCATTTCAGTTGCATTTTTACGTTTCTTGAAATAATAAAACATAATATGCTGAAAATGCTGCTTTTTTCTTCCATCTTCAGTATTAAAATGGCTACACAAAATTTCACCAATTTTGGTAACTTTTTAAAAAATGCACGCTGATATGACAGCTGTCACATACAATCTAACTAAATGGTCTTGAATGAAGTTAAAGACAACTAAGTGCTACTAGAGCCATCTTACAGAAAAAACTGAACGGACCTATTGGCCAACCAGTATTTTATATAGAGTAGTGTGTATATGTTAATGCCAAACTCCTATTTTATCCCTCCCCACCTCCCTTTTGGTAACCATAAGTTTGTTTTCTATGTCTGTGGGTTTATTTCTGTGATGTATCATTTTTAATTTTTTTAGATTCCACATATAAGCCATATCATATGATATTTGTCTTTGGCTTACTTCACTTAGTACGGTAATCTCTAGGTCCATCCATGTTGCTGCAAATGGCATTATTTTGTTCTTTTTTATGGCTGAGTAATATTCCATTGTATATATGTACCACATCTTCTTTATCCATTCATCTGTCAATGGACATTCAGGTTGCTTCCATGTCCTGGCTATTGTAAATAGTGCTGCTATGAACACTGGGGTGCACGTATCTTTTCAAATTATGGTTTTCTTTGGATATGTGCCCAGGAGTAAGATTGCAGGATCATATGGTAGCTCTATTTTTGGTTTTTTAAGGGATCTCCATACTGTTTTCCATGGTGGCTGCACCAATTTACATTCCCACCAACAGTGTAGGAGGGATTGGGAAGGTACTCTTTTCAATAAATAGGTCCTGAAAGAGAACTTGCTGTATATGCAGCTTAAGTAGGGGAAGCTGCTCTTTGGGGGCTCCTAGTATGGTGTTTTCCTAAGGGACCTTCTCTTGAGGCTGCTCCCTCCATCCTTATTGCCATCACATTAGTTCTGGCCTGGCTTCTTTTCTCAACAGAACAATTTCTGAGCCTCCAGGGAGGATCTGTCTCCAATCTCCTTCCAATCCATTTTTTAATTAAGGAAGCGGAGTCATCTATTTGGAAAAAAATAAAAGGGAAAAGAAAATACTCCAACCAAACTAGGTCACGCCAGCCTCCTGCTCTGGAGCCTCCAAAAGGCTTCCCTGCACTTAGCATCAAGACAAACACCCACTGTGGCCTGCAGGACCCAGGCAGTGTGGCCCGTCTAGCCCTCCAATCTGTTCTTGTCAAATTACGTCACTGTCCTTTCACTCAGTAATTCCATCCACCTTGGGTTTCTTGAATTTACCATGTTACCTCCCTCCTCGGGGGTTTTGCCTAGTCTTCCCTCTCAGCTTGGGGTTCTCTCCTCTCTCCCCTTCTTTTCTTCCTTCTTGGATTAAGTTCACCTCCTTGGGGAGCCTTTCCCTATTCATTTTACCGGAAGTTTAAGCCCTCACTCTTTTTCTGGCTCAGCGAATTGTCTGTTACCATGTGCAGATATTTTTTTCATTTGTTTGTTTGTGTTTTCCCCACCGCTCCTACTAAACTGTGAACTGTAAACTCCAGGGGAGCAGAAACCATTTCCGTGTTGTTTATGGGCCTGCCTCAGTGCCCAGCTGGTGCTCCATCAATGTTTGCCAAATGACCCGTCTGGTTCTGTTCATCTTCCTCGCGAGATCCTCCACTCCAACCCACTTCTCCTACCGTATCAGAGTACCATCCCCTAAGGGCAGTATTCTTCTATCCTCTGTTCCTGTGCCTGCCCTGTGCCTTCTGCCTGAAATACCCTTCTCCCCTATTTTCCTTCTGAAAAATGAACTCAGCCTTCCAGACTCAGCTCAAATATCATCTCCTCTTTGATGCCTGTCCCCATCCCTCCTGGCAAAATGGAAAGCATCTGCTCCACGGTTTGTGCACATCTGAATCACAGCTTTTGTCACTCTGTATTGTCCTCACACATTTGTGTACCTACTTTCCCCACTAGACGGACCTCTTGGGAGCAAGGACGAGATCTAATTCATCTTACATTTCCACTTCTTAAAAATATTTGTCACATAGAAAGGGTACAATAAATGCTTGTGGACTTACATTACATTATTTACATTAGTGAATAAAGGAACTTCCTTGGTGAAATTTCCCTGTGTGGAGTCTTCCTCTCTGCGAAGTCCCTATGTACCTACCTCCTGTTTGGATATTACCTCTCAGAAGTTTTCTCTGGGGTTCCTGGTGCACAGAGAACATCTCTCTGTTTTTTGTCTTCTAGGATTAGGCGGCTGGTTTGGTTTGGAACATAGTGTTTGCTCTTGCCTGTTTTAAAAGGAAGCTGGTGGTTAATACAGGTCTCGTGGCAGGTAGAATAATAAGAGGCCAATCCTCCCAAAGATTTTGTTTATTACCTGACCTAGTCCAATAGGACTGGTTGTTAAGGATTCATTCACTCACCCTCTATCTGTTGTTCTGCTGTGTGCCAGGCACTGTTTTGGTGCTGTGTTCACAGCTATGCAAGAGGTCCTGTTCCTAAAGTATTTTTTTTTTGGACGGGGTAGCACAGGCAGACAGACAGACAGACAGTATAGTGTGATCAGTGCTCTGATGTAGTGTGTGTTTGCAGAGTCATGTGGGAGCAGGGGAAAAAAGGGCTTTCATCCATCTGGGGTGGGGATGGGAGGTGTTAAGGAAGTCTTCCGAGTACAGAGGCTCTTTATGTGGACTTTTGATAGATAAGTAGAATTGTTTGATGGGACAGGGACACGAGAAAGGGAGGAAAAGAAAACTAGGGAAGGGAGAGGGAACGGCACTCACGAAGGCAAGCAAGAGGTAGTAGGCGTGCTTTGAAATCATGAGGAGTTCACTGAAGTCCAGAACTTTGCTGCCCAGTTTGGTGTGTGGACCGGCAGTGCTGGCATCACCTGGGAATTTGCTAGAATAGCAGAATTTTGAGCTCCACCCTGGACCAACTAAATCAGCATCTACATTTTACCAAGATCCCCAGGTGGTTCTTGCCCACACTGAAGTTTAAGAAAAAGTAGGTAAAGAGGTATTTTTTCAAGTGATCGCCTGCATCAAAATCATCTGGAAGGTTTACTGAAAAACCGGATCTCTGGGTCTCGCCTTAGAGTTTCTGAATTAGTAGCTCTGGGTGAGGCCTGAGAATTTTCATTTCTCAAAAGATCCTGGATGATGTTGGTGCGGCTGGTTCAAGGATCACACTCTGAGAACCAGTAGGGTGGAGTATAGTGGGAAGGGTAATTTCTGGGAAGTGAGCTTGGACAGGTAGCAGGATTCAAATCCCGAAGGGCCTTGATAGGGAGGAGTGGACTTTATCCTGGAGTGTTGCAGACGTCTGCAGAGTTCTTATGCAGGAGAGTGATGCGATCAGACTTTTCTGTGGGGAAGATCGCTCTGGCAGCACGTGGCAGATGAGCTAGAGAGTGACAGGATGACACACTGTCACTGTATTCCAGGTGAGACTGATGAATTCTGAACCAAGGCAGTGGAGATGCCTTCAAGATAAATTTGGGGGTCAGAGTTCTGGGGAGTCAGTGAGTGATTGAATGTAGGGATGAAAATTAAAAACCTCCCTCCATACCTGGAACTTGGAGGCACATCAGAGCCTGTGGCTCTTTCCCTGCCTGTGGCTGTTGCCTTTTCATGCCCAGAAAGCTGCCATTGTATCTGCCTTCTCTTCACAAGCCTGCCTCTGGCCTCATCTGACAGGTTTCAGCCTGCAGTGTTTGCAGAAAGGGGTGCAGTGCAGTAAACTATTCAGAAATAGGATTTATTAACGGGAGGCATGTAATTACTGCCAGACGCAGCAATCTGAAGAGATTATGGCCTAAGTGTTCGGTGTCATTCGTTAAAACAAAGTGGGCTCTTGGCATGGACGCTGTCCCCCTGTGACCAGACCTGTCTGTTTCTGTGATAGCCCCTCCCCCACCCCTGCGTCTGCGGGTTGAGCCCGGCTAGAAAGACAAAGACGGATAAATCACCAGGGCGGGGGCCTGGCTCTGTGGACGATGGCCCTCGCCTGGACGCCTTGGAGGGGCCAGTCCTGGTTCCAGAGCAGGGCTCCTGGAGGGGATTGTGGCCTGTCTGCTTTTTGTCTCCAGGCCTCCTGATTCCACAGTAACGTGTCAGCAGACCCTCTGTGAAGGGCAATCCTGTGCACTTATGTCTTCTTCAAAATCTTGTTCCCACCCATTTCACATCTCAGCAGACCCTCGCAGAACCCTGGGATGAAGGCAGCAGGGCTTAGCATCGCCTTGTGACAAATGGAGGCCCAGAGGTTTGGTGAGTCTCCCAAAGTTCTCAGGCTGAGAGAACAAGCTTGTGCTGAGACCCCACGAAGCCATCCCACCTCTCCACCAGGCAGGCCGGGCTGTCCCGGCTCCAGGATGAGAGCACTGTTTTGTTTTGAGGACAGCAGGCTTGGCTGTCAGAGGCACCGGCTCCTGCTAGACTTGGGTGCAAGCCCAGGACTTCTCTTGCCTAGTCCTGTGTTCTTGGGAGAGATGCTCTAAGCCTCAGTTTCCTCAAATAGAAAACAAGAGAAGGAACGAGGTCAGCTCCTTTCCAGGGCCCTCTGAGGAGTAAATGGCCTTGCAGGGGTTGGCACTGGCCGGCCCCCTTTCCCCTGACTTGTCACCATCTCTGGGCCTCACAAAAGAAACCCTGTAACTACTTGAGACAGGGATGCTGAGCTCAGATGAGATAATAGAGGGAATATGCTTTGGAAAATTCAAGCACACCCTTCAAATGTGAGGTAATTATAGGAACAACAGATCTGCCAGAACCCTGCCAAAAAAACCAGCAACTTTTTTTTTTAACATCTGTATTGGAGTATAATTGCTTTACAATGATGTGTTAGTTTCTGCTGCATAACAAAGTGAATCAGCTATACATATACATATATCCCCATATCTCCTCCCCCTTGCATCTCCCTCCCACCCTCCCTATCCCACCCCTCTAGATGGTCACAAAGCACTGAGCTGATCTCCCTGTGCTATGCAGCTGCTTCCCACTAGCTATTTATTTTATATTTGAAAACCAGTAAATTTTGAGACAGAAATTAGACCTGGATTCTAGAATCCTCATCATCATGATTGGTTTTGGACAGAGGGACCTTTCTGCCCTTTCGAACATCTATCTCAAAACGTTATTTTTATTTTGCGGCCTGGAGAGGACGTGCATAAAGCACAGTCTGGGGGGTCGTAGCAGGGAAGGCATAGCTGGCAGGTGCTTGTGCTAATTAGGAGGCTGCAGTGACCGGAGCTCTTCCAGGGACCGACACCTTGTATATCTGTGTATTCCCTAGGGCCCAGCACGGGGTCTGGCATAGGTAGGTACTCAGCGATTATTTATTAAATGGAACCAAGTTGGATTCTGTCCTATTCCGTGGGTTCTTTGAAGGCAGCGCCTGTGTTTTACTCATTTCTCTCTTTCCAGAGCCAAGCCTAGCATCTGGCACAGAGTAGGTGCTTAGTCAGTTCAGGCTGGATCGAAATTAAGCCCCGTGAAAAATAAGGCAGACGTATCTAGTGTCTGCCCTGAACCACGGGGGAACCCGGGGCTCCAGGTAGGAAAGAAGTCTGGGATTTGCAGCGTGAGTAGGTACCGGTCAGATGACAGGCTCACTTCAAAGGCATGCGGTGGGGAGGAGAGAGGTGATGTGGTTTCTCCAGTGCCTCTGTGGCTGCGTGGGAGCCTCAGCTGGCGGCAGAGGCGGGGAGGGGAGGTTGGCAGCACAGTGGAGGCCTCAGCCGGGACTTCGGGGATGGAACGAATGAGCCAGAGGAGAGGAAGCAACTCAGATGTAGACGAAGAAACGCACTCAAAATCTCCCTCCCCTCTCTGCTTCCGTGGGAACAGACGTGGCAGCAGCGCGCGCGCGCGCGTGTGTGTGTGTGTGTGTGTGTGTGTGTGTGTGTGTGTGTTGGAAGGAAAACAGGCTTTACAGCCAAATAAACCTGCGCGCCGATCCCCTCAGTGCAAAGCCGGGATTGTGGGATTTTGAGCATGCTTTGTTTTTTTCTGAGTCTCCATTTTCTCGTCTTAAAAAATGGCATCAGTGATTCTTACCGTCCGGGGTGGCTGTGGCTATCCAGAGTGTTTTGTCAGCAATAAAACAGCCATTTATGAAGCACCTGCTCTCTGCTAGGCACTGAGCCTAGCAGCTGGATGGATTTAATCTGTAATCCCCTTAACCATCCTGCAAGGCGGTGATTATTATCTCCAGTCTCCACTTCAGAGCAGAGGAAACTGAAGTTAGGAGGCAAGGAGCAATTTGCTCAAGGGAGAGTGCTGGAAATTCAACTAGGTTCTCTTTGTAAAGATTACATTATGGAAACGTACAGGATGATTATATTTCGTGAATCTTAGTCAAGTCTAAAACTCTCCCACAGCGGCAGTCTTCCTTTATTGTCAGCGCTTTTCCTCCCTCCATTTCCCTTTGGTAAAAAAGCAAAACCTTTGGCTAACCTGGCTGTCTGTGGAAGAAGGGTGAGCTCTGCTCAGTGATTTCAACGTGATTTGATTCTCTTTGTCTAGGTGCTTTTTGGTTTCCATGGGATGGAGATCAGGAAATTATTTCTAGGTGTTTATATGAGGGAAGAGGAAAAGCTGCTGAGACTTAAACTTCTGGACGATCCAACAACATCTGAAATATCAGAAACTACCCTTCCAAAAGAAAACTATCAACTCTTTTGACATTCTGAGGAGTCTTTCTCTGAAGCTTCAGCTGAATATGAGGTAAGCGTGGAAGGTCAGGAAAGCCAATTCACTTGTATTACAATTTACGACGTGCCTATGTCTGGATGTTCCTCATGGTCACACTGTACAGCAGGTGTCGTTAGATCGTTGCCACCTAGGGATGCTCAGAAAGGTAAACATTTGTCTGAGATCACACAGGCATGAAGCGTTAAAGCCAAGATTCAGAACTTAACCCAAAGCACAGGCTCTTTTTTCTGCTACTCCCTGCTTCTGAGTCTGCAAGTCTACTGATGGAAACTGCTGCTTCCTCTGAACTCCTTTTTTTTAGGAGGCTGTCCCTTTGCTCTGGATTGCCCCAGGCAGATCCGGAGAAAACTGCATACCTGCAGTTTCAGAAGAAAAAGTACTTTAGCTTTGAGACTGCAGGAGACCACCAAAAGTCGGCACCAGCCAACACAGATGATCCCAACTTTTGGAAGATGCTCTTTGTGAAATGGACACCAGTTGGATGTTTCTAATTTTGGCTGTGAACTCAGCCATCAGGAACTGGCTGTATTTTTTTTTTTTTTTTGGCAGGGTGGGTTGGGCTTCAGAGAGGAGGAAGAGAGAAGCAGGGAAGGGGAGGTCCCTGTAGTTCATCCAATTCAAAGCGAGTATCACAGATTTAAATCACATACTTGCTGATCCCATTATTGAGTGGTTTTACTTAGATCCAAGCCACTGTGGGGGGAAGATGTCCTACCTGTCCCTCCTTATTTAATTTTTAATGAAAAAGAAATCTGGAAAAAAATCAAAACAAGCTACCAAACACTTGGTTTGCACACCATTCTCGGGGTTCTTTCTAGGGAAGTGGGAAGCTCACAGATGTTGGAGTTCATGAGATGTGGGTTCTACCTGCAGCCATGTCACTCATCTGCATGGCTTTGGGTAAGTCATCGAGCACCTCTGACCTCAGTTTCTTCATCTGTAAAATGAATATAATAACGCCTGCTTTAGAAGGTTGTCAGGGGCTAGAGTGCTTGGTACTTAGCAGACACTCATTAAATGTTAGTTCCTTTTTCCTCCCTGTATCACAAGGGCAAATTCTTCATCTATATTCTCTTAGGTAGAGAGGTGGCCATGAGTAATGACCTGTAATTTTTAGGACAACTCAGATCCACCCAGATTGTTGGCAGGGACCATCAGCCATGGTTTAAGACTTAAGCCAATGCCCATGATGTCATTATGGAGCCTGCAGAAGTGATTACTAATGTTACTTTTCCATTTCACTGTGGAGCAGAGGGGAGAGTCTTTCACACTGCTGGTGTTTTTTTGGAGCACGATGATACAAATCACAGATGGCTTCCTCGGCAGATGTAGCTCTGTAGAACCAAAGTGGGGGTTTACAAGGGGTTTAATGAAAACCTGGCACCCTTCCAGGCTTGAATCAGTCCTCCGGGGTTGTCAGCTCATGTACTTACAGGCCAATCTACAAATGTCCACTCCGTTGATGGTGTGGGGAATACTAGGGTGAAAAGTTTTTACCTGGGAAACAAAACCAAACCTATCTGGCTGAGTTCACAGGCTTGGGGCCTGGGAGGTGGAACAGTGACATGGAAGGGAAGTTGGTAGGAGGAGGGAGGCCTACATCTGGAAGATGTTCAGATGACTGCCGCCTGGCTGGGGCTGATCTGGGCCCAGGACAGAGCAATGGCTTTCCCAGCTGCTTGGGGCTCACGCTCTTTTCTTCTTCGCCAGGGGTTAGGCTAAATGGAGCGACCAGGAGCCACAAATGAGGGATATGGAATAAAAACGTTTCAATTTAGTAGACGATATAAATTGAAACTGGATTGGACTATCGTTGCCTCTGCTCGAAATGCGATCTTCAAGTGGCCAGCTTGCTATTTTTCATCTATTTTATTTTGGCTTCCATGCCATCTCCTTGGAGAAGCCTTCTTTGATTGCCTCCCTGAAAGAGAACCTCCAAGCTCTTTGCCATATTCTATCTTAGCTGTGTATTTGTTTCATAACATATCAGAATTTATTTGCCTGTTTGCTTTCTGTTTTGGACCCTTAGTAAAACATATCATTCCTTGAAAGAAAGACCTCTTGACCAACGTAGCTCAGTGCCCAGTGGAATACCTGGCACATAGTGGACATTCAATAAATATCGTTGGAAGAACGAATTCATTTCAGGACAAGAATAAGATATATCAGTGTTTGCAGCTTAATGCCACCATTGATAAGCTGTAAAACTGTCCAAATTACATAATCTTAGTCTGGGATACTTCATCTGCAAAAGGGAAAAAAATACAATAGAGGGTAGCTGTTTATGTAGTGTCTAATACATAAGAAATATTCAATAAATCAAAGCTATTATTATTCAGTCATTGAAGAATTAAGTTAACCACCAAGAAATATTTACCAGTATTTCTATTCAGCTAACATCTACTGAGATCTAGCACATGCCATGCCACACACTAAGCACTTTTACATGCATTATCTTATGTGATTCATGACAACGACCGTGGGAGAGATCCTTTCCATTTAGAACAAAAGAAACAGAGACTCAGGGAGGTTAAGCGGCTTGACCAAGCTTACACAGCTATTGAGTGGCAGAGGCAGTATTAACTCCATTTCTATTTTTAAAGCCATAATTTCCCCCCATAATTCCAGGCTGCTTCCTATTAACACTTGCTCTGGATAAATAAACATAAGGAAGCCACATTCTCTGTCCTCTGGGGGCTCTGGTTTAGGTGATAAGACATATGTAAGAGTAAAACGAGCACTAATAAAAACCAATGTTTTTTCATGCTGCTTTGAAGTTTACAAAGCATGTCCCAATATTTACAACACATTCAAGTTTTAGGATACATAAATAATTCAAACAAGTCAATGAGAAAAAGATAACTCAATGGAAAAATTGACCGATTGTGAACAGGCCTTTCAAATGGCCAATAATCACATGAAAAGATGTTTGGCATTATTGGTCATGGGGAAATTCAAATGAGAACAATGATATACCATTTCCCACCCATTGGATTGTCAAAAGAACAGAGAATACCAAGGACTGATGAGGGTCAAGTTGCATGGGAACCGTCGTAACATGCTAGCTATGCTAGAAATTGGTAAAATCAGTTCGGGAAGCAACTGGAAATACTTAACAGAGGTGACTATGAACATGCCCTTGGAACCAGGGCTGCCTCTAGGAAGCAAAAACTACTCTAGAGAAACCCTTGCCTATGTGCAGAAGGAGAGACACAAAAATGTTCAGTTTCAGCATTTTATATAATAGTGAAATATTGGCAACAATCTAAAAGTACATTAACAGGGGAATGGATAAACTGGTCATTTGTGGATGAAATATGAAACAGCAGCTGAAGGAATAAATTAGAGCTCCACTTAGTGACAGGGATAGATCACAGATACATATTGTTAAATAAAAAACAGCAAGTTGCAGAAAGGCAGACAAGATGATAGCCTTTATGCACATTAAAGAAAACAGGTAAAGCAGCCCTGTATGTTTAAAATGAACTCTCTTTATGTACCGTAAAGAGCTGGTCGGGAAACATACACGCCACTCACAATAGTAATTACTTCTGGGGAGGAAGATAGGGACTGAGGTCAGGGAGGCTTGTAAAGAGGACTTCTACGGAACCTTCAACTAAATGTTTTACTTAAAAAAAAACATCTGAAGCAAATACGGCAAAATGTTAACATTGTTAGATCAGGTGGTGGGTTCAGCTGTTTTTGAACTGTTCTGTGTGTATGGGATATTTTTTTTTTTTTTTTTGTGGTATGCGGGCCTCTCACTGCTGTGGCCTCTCCTGTTGTGGAGCACAGGCTCCGGACGCGCACGCTCAGCGGCCATGGCCCATGGGCCCAGCCGCTCCGCGGCATGTGGGATCTTCCCAGACCGGGGCACGAACCCGTGTCCCCTGCATCGGCAGGCGGACTCTCAACCACTGCGCCACCAGGGAAGCCTGGGATATCTTATAAAGCAAGCAAAAGACTCACTAATCCACACCTTGTTCCCTAACCTCATCCAATGTGCCCCACATTAAGCTCTGGAGGCAGTGATGGAAGAGAAGATACCCATTCTGCAGAGTTCAGTCCTTCCTCTCCTAGCATCTGCCTTTTTTATTTTATTTTAGTTTTTGCGTGGATGGGGGTAAAGTAAACTGCTAAGCAGGTGGAGAAGAGACTAACTGATTTTCTTTAGGAAGGGCCTGCAGCCCTGGTGGCGGCAGGGATGGGTGTCAGAAAAAACAGGGAGAGGACAAGGAGAGCAAGGGGTGCTGAGGTTTTGAGAAAAGCCTGGAGAAACTGAGGTTTTAGAGATGGGAAGTGATTTATCCAAGGTCATTCAGAGGCAGAGCTGGAATCTGCCCCTGGTTACCTATCCCCACATTCAGACCACAGGCAAGTGTGTGCTGGGGGCAGGAGCCGGGACACAGGTCTACGTCAAATCCCAGCTCTGCTATTTAGTAGCAGTGAGGCCTTGGGCACGCCACCTGACTCTCTGAGCTTAAGTCACTATTACCTTTTTTAGAATGACCTTGGGAGGAACTCATAATGTGTATAAAAGGGCTAGTGGGATAGTACTGTGTCTAACTCTTAGTATTCACTCCATAAACAGTTACTATCACCATCTGCATCATCATTCCAATTTGTTTCACCCATTCTTTAATAACTTCAATAACTATTACTCTCCCCCCACACCTTCCCCCCTCCCCCGAACCAATATCAGAGCAGTTTCCTTGAGGGCAAATATCCAGTTTATCTGTGTCCAAAGATTGGTCTGTCAGCAATGAAGTCTGTCAAATATTCTCTTCCTCCTAGTAGCAACTATTCCTAAAAACAGCTCCCTCCCTGCCTCCATGCAACTTTTTATTTTGTTATTATCATGGTCTTACAGGTTTTTCTCTTTAATTGTTGTTGAGTGTGCTATAAATCATTACCAGCATTATTTGTTTTGATTTCTCAATTGATCTGTCCAGTGGAAATTCCTTTAAACCAGTGTCTGTCCTTTTTATATGTCTCCAATGATCTTTGAGTACTTCCTCATTCTCTGTGTTCCAGATGTTCCAGACTTACCTTGTACTTTCCTTGCTCTAGGGCCAGAATCAACTACTTCTCCAAGGAGTACTGGTTCTTTTTAGTGGAGAATGGTATTTAGAAACCAAGATTTGGACATTATATGTGCTCTGTATTATTGGGGTATTATTGCTTTGGGGCCCTTTCAGTACAGAGGTAAAATAAATAAATGGATATGTGTGTGTATCTGTTTCTATCTCTACCTCTGTTGAAGTCTGTGATGGTTAATTGAACCGTCAGCTTGGCTGGATGCACATTATTATAGGTGTTTCTATGAGGCTGTTTTTGAATGAGATTAACATTTAAATAAGTGGACTTTGTATAAAGCAGATTGCACTTGGTAATGTGGGTGGGCCTCACTGAATTAGTGGAAGGCTTGACTAGGAAATAGAATGATTTCCTTTGAGCAAGAGGGAATTCTGCATCAGACAGCCCTTTGATTTGAAACCCATATTCGCTCTCCTTTGCGTCTCCAGCATGCTGGCCCACCCTGCAGAGTTTGGATTTGCTAGCTTCCATAACTGTGTGAGCCAATTCCTTAAATCAATAACACTCCCCCCGCCAACTACACACACTATTGGTTCTGTTTCTCTGGAGAACCCTAATACAAAGTCTAATATTCCTAGCTCAAATCCAATACCATTGGGTTCTTGTTCAGCTAACTCATTCATATTTGTATCTCCCATCTTTTACAGTTAGAATCCTGGTTTCCACAAAAAAATATTTACTCATTTGTTCTAACCCCAAAACACATAACAAGTCAACTACCATGGACTCTTCAAAAATGTCAATGCCGCGAAAGAAAGAAAGAAAGAAAAAGAGTATAAGGAATATTGTATATTAGATAAACTAAAGAGACATGACATCCAAGTGCAGTGTGTGGTACATGTTTGGATTCCAGATTGGAAAAAAGAAAGAACAGCTTTCAAGGACCTTACTGGGAAATTTGAATGTGGAATGTATGTTCGATAATATTTTATAAATATTAAATTTGGGAGGCATGATAATGATGTCATATGAGAGAATACAACTGTAAGAGGATAGGAGATACATGTTGAATTATTTAGAGGTGTAGTGTTTTGATGTTGGCAAGTTATGTTCAAATGGTTCACAAACTATATACGTATTTATATATGTATGTAAATATCTATATCTATCTATCTATCTATCTAAATATATGTATATATATATAGAGAGAGAGATTGATAGGGAGAGACAAAGAGAGAGAGAGAGAGGGAGAGAGAGAGTGTGTGTGTGTGTGAGAGAGAGAGAGAGAGAGACAGAGACAGAGAAGGAAAGAGCAAATGTGGCAAAATATTGACAGTTGGTAAACTTGCATAGAAAAAAAAAGAATTAATTGGACTATTATATTAACTTTTCTGTTGAAATTTCTCTGAAACATTTCAAAATTAAAAGTTGGGTGAAATAGTAGCAGGTATTACATATCAAGTATTGGTATTATATATCTATATCTACTAGCAAGAGTATTACATATCAACTACCACATGCTAGTAGCAAGTATTATAAATCAGGTACTACTTTGTGCTGGGCTTGTATTAAGTGCTTTACATACATCATTAATTTATTTAATCCTCATCACAATCCTCTAAGATAGCTAACACTTTTTTTTTTACAGTTGAGGTATCTGAGGCTCAGAGAGGCACAGAAACTTGCTTAAAGTCACCCAGCTAGCAGGGAAGGGAACTGAGGCTCCAAGAGAGGAGCGACCTCCCCAGACCATCAGCTGAATAGTGGTCCTGTTGGGGTTAGGACTGAGGTGTCTGATTCTTACTCTGGGGCTTGGTCTATTGTATCAAAAAAGTTATTCCTCCTTGTTTTCTTGCCTGGTGGGACTCCATTTAGAGAAAGATTTCTGCCAGCTCTATTAGACTCATTCCGAAGAAAAAAGATTCCGTTTTTCCATTCCACTTTGAAAAGATAAGACATCCAGCTTCCTGTCCTGTGGCTCTTACCCAGACTTTTGTACTTGTTCTCAGCAATGCATGTTCTCCCTGGTTATTGGGTCACAACTTTATCAGATTTCAGAGATGGGAAAACCCAAGCAGGCAGCAGTGGCTTCGGACTAAGCGCAAGCAATCTCATTCATTAACAGAGGGACAGTGATTCTTTGTCTGCTTCTGACTGTTCGCACGCTATTCACTTTAAACACAAGCACAGAGTTAGTCTGGTACAGTGTTCTGCAAACTGAGGGTCATGACCTTTAGTGGGTCTTGAAATCAACGTAGATGGTGGCTGTCAGCATGTAGAAAGTGATTTTTAAGATAAACAACAAGGACCTACTGTATAGTCCAGGGAACTATATTCAATATCTTGTAATAACTTACAATGGAAAAGAATCTGAAAAAGAATATATATATATACATATATATGTATATATATATAACTGAATCACTTTGCTGTACATCTGAAACACTGTAAATCAACTGTATTTCAATAAAAAAGAAAGTGATTTTTAGAATCAAATTGGATAGAATAGAAAATATGGTGTATACTCACTATGAAGGTAGGTATTATTTTGTGAATGTACACACACACACATATGTTTGTTCTGGGTGATGGTGTAAATTTTATTTCTTATTATGAGTCACAGTTAAAACAATTCCAAAGCTACTGGTTTGGGACAGGGGGTCAGCAAATGCCTGTTTTGGGGAACAAAATTTATTGGAACACAGCCTAGCCACTAGCACATGCATTGTCTTTGGCTGCTGTCGCAGTACAGTGGCTAAGTTGAGAAGTTGTGACACGCTGAATAGACTGCAAAGCCTAAAATATTTACTATTTGGCCCTTCATAGAAAAATCTGCTGGCCCCAATGGTCTAAGATATTGAAGCAAAAACTTCTAATTCAAATAAAGCTTCCATTGTATATAATCTCCAGAATTTCTCTCTCTAGTATTTCTCCCCCACTGACTACCTAAGTTGTAGTATTCACATATAGATTCATGTAAATGCATATCTAACTATGGAAAAGTAGGCACAGCAAAAGCAATTATCGCCTAAGCTCTGTGTTTCTAACATAATACCAGGAGTATTCAGAGGCAAGTTCCTGCTAGCACATGGCAAACAGGATGACCTTTCCATCCTAGGAAAACATGTCCATGTTTAACCTCATTGCACTCAACCAGACGTTTCCTTGCACAAATTTTCAAGTGAAATATTTCAATCCTGCATTCAGCTTGGGGGCCACATGTCTTATCCAAGTTAAATATTTCCAGAAAATAAATGTCTAGACACCGTCTCATATAAATTAAGCACCCGGTTTTTAAAAGATTTCTAGCAGACCTCCTTTTCGGTGTGTGGGTGAGTATAATTTGACTCCTGTGAAAAATTCTGGGCCACATCTGATGTGCCTAAGCCTGTGCACCTGCATATGGTTAATAAGTGCTGTTGAGTCATAGTGGGCAGTGCTGGGGGAGAGGGCAGGCGGGGTGGGAAGCTAGGACTCTGAAAGATATTCCATAGAAGAGCAAAGAGATCTCTTTTCTTGGAGGTCTTGGTTTCCAAGAATCTTGGATGAAGAAGTCCTTGTATGTTGAAATCTACCTTAGGGAGGCTTGCCATATTTGTTAATCCTGTCATCGGAGAATAAAGAACATGTGACTGTACATGAAGATAAAATCCGACTGTATCTCTGACTTTCCATTTCATTTATGTTTGAGGTTTTTCAAGTCATGGCTTTGTTTAATTC